GAGTCAATGGAGTGGAAGAGAGCGGAGACCAGGAGTCGGAAGTGACGGACCGTCCGATCGCGAAGAAAGTGGCGAAACACGACTCGGGAGCGGCTGATCTCGAAAAGGTGACCGACTTCGAGGAGGAGCGAGAGATTTCGTCCCAAGACATCGAAAATGTATGTGTCTTCCGCTCACAGCCCATGGCCTCGAGTTGTTGTCATTTATTGATTGATTTGTTTGCTTACTCTTCAGGCGATGTCTTTGTTTGGCGACAAACGATCGAAAGAGACGGCCGAAAGAGTGGCCCGAATGAGGGAATTGGCGAAAGTTGTCATTAAGAAAGAAGACGTCGAACTCATTGTGAGAATGAAGTGATGGGTTGTGTTTTGCGGACAATTATTTTGAATGCATTATTGTCTGTGTTTCAGATGAAAGAGATGGAAATTCCGCGATCGACGGCCGAACTCAAGCTCCGGGAGTGCGCCGGAAGTGTTGTCGAAGCGCTCATAGCATTAACCGATTGATATATTCAATGAATTACTAGTCGTTTTGTTTTAATTCATTCATTCATTCATGTCTTCATAAACTCATCATAAAATGCAATTCATTTTGCGATTCATTAAAAATATAATTCAAATCTTTTATTCAATTATTGATTCATTTAAAAAATATTTAAATGTATAGAAATTCAGAAGTAATACAAGTATTATATTATTAATACAGTATTGGTTTAAAACCCCTAAGGATTAGTATTGAAAGTGGTGTGCATTGGTGTCGGCAGTACCTCTTGAGTGAAGGGTTTCACTTGAGTTGTGGTGAACACCGATTGAGACAGTGTTTGAGCGATTGGTTGAGTGAATGTTTGGCTGAAAGTTTGAGTGTTTGGCTCCACATGTCGTGTGGATGTGGTGTCTGTGAATGTCTGTGAATTGTCTGATGTTTGGAAAGTTTGTTGAAAGTTAAGGGGAGTCGGCGAAGCTTTAAATGTATCATCAGTTTGATTAAAAAGTTGTTGATTCTCTTTTTGTACTTCGGGTAAATGTGGGGCAAAATTCAATGGTTTTGTGGGCGTTTGAAAGGCAGTGTTAGTCAAAGTTTGTGTATTAGTGGTCAGAGGCTGTGTTCCGGTAAATGAGGTCGAAGTTATCGGAAATTCTTTGTGAGAGACAACGGAGACGGCAATGGGTTCAGGGATTGGTTGTGAAACTATAGGCAACGGTTGTACGACTGGTGTCGGCACTACTACTTGTGTCCTTCCTTTTTGAGCGGGAGATACAAAGACAGTGTTCCGCGGAAATGCTGGCAATGGTTGAGCAAAGGTCGGTGTCAGTGGTTGTTCAACCATTGGTTGAGCCAATGGCTGCTCTACTCGTTGTGTAAAAGGTTGGACTAATGGCTGCTCTACTCTCTGGACGAAGTGTTGGGTCAATGGTTGCGGTTGAGTGAATGTGACCGCAGGGGCCGGTTGTGTCAAACTGATCAAATGATTGGGAATTGTTTGAACGTATGCCGGAGTTCTCCAAACTGACAACAGATGTTGAGGAATAGACTGAGGAAATGAGGCTTCGTTTGCAACGACTGGCGATCCGGCGCTAAAAGTTTGAAAGGTTTGCGGAAACGGATTCCCTCCGAACCCATTGAAAATCAAGTGTTGGGGAATCTGCGAGACCTGGGATGTAGTGAATGTGGTGTGAACTCCATGTTTGCTGTGATGAGTGCCACTGATGGCATCAGAAGCCAAGACAACTAATCAAAGTAATCATAAAAGTCAAACCTATTAACAAGTTTTTAAAACTCTTACCGATTAAAACGACCACAAGTTTGAAACTCATTTTTAACGCTTTCTCTCAAATAATATCAATTTAATTACAAGATTTTCTTTTTATAGGATTTATAGGTTTGAAAACTGTTTGACCACTTCATTGCAATCATCAGTTTTGACCTTAAAGTTATTTATAGAATAATATCAATAAATATGTTTCAATTTTAGGGTTATTTTAATCTTAAGAAAACTTTCAATTATGATTAGAATCTATATTTTGTTTTTAAAAATGACCAAGTCGGAATAAGTTATCAAGGCATATATCCGGTTTTGGCTTAAATATTTGTTTTCTAAACCCAATTGTTTATCATATAATTTGTTAAAAATGAAATATTGCTGTTAATCATACCCTGTATTGTCAATACCGTATTGAATCAATACTAGTGATAATCAGATAAATTAGTTAAACTATAATTGATAAAAATATTTGTCGTTAATGTTCTGTTTGCTAAATTTGTCAACGATTTGATTTTCAGTTATGTCCAGTTTATACTAATTTTAAATTTTGGAAATTAATATTTATTAAACCAATATTTCATTTGAGTTTTCATCCAAACGAATACAAGAACGCAAATAATTTAACAAAAATTCATCGAGTTTTGGCAAATTTAAGATATGATTACTGAATGTAAATTGTTTAATAAATTTGTAGAAATGCCCGGAAGGCAGTCAGTTTGGCTCCACTATTATTCTTCATCACATCCTATAATATGAATACTGTATTAATATTACCGTAAATACAGATATATTACGTTATGCTTATACAAGCTTCCTATACAAGCGCTTATTCCTTCCTATACTCTCTTATTTATTCCTTATTTCAATATCTATTTGAGTTAATACAGTATAACCACAAAAGTTTTAAAAAAATAAGCCAACTATTAATACTCATCCACTCATTCAAAGCAATCACTTTGTTATTTAACCAAAAACGTCATTTTAATCGCATTTTAATTGATAACTCATTCATTTATACCATAATTAAAGTGAATTATAACTAATTACCGTATTATTCATACCGTATGATAACATGAAAACCCATGTTTCATACATATCTTTATTATAACTTTATATTAAATACATGATAACAAACAGCTCTAAAAATTACTTAAAATGTCGATTGCATTTTAAACAACGATAATAATTATTATTATATCAAATACATTAAAAAGGGGGCAATACTGTTAAATAATGAGTTAAATAGAAGATTAAATATAAGAAATAAATAAGTTTTGGCTGTGTTTATGCCTAACATTGCCAATAGTTTATCCAATGGTTCACTCGGTATTTAAATTCTCAATGTTTTTAATGAGTTTTTGCTCTTCAGCTCTTTTTAGAGCACTTCTAGCGATGTCTTTGATCTTGTGGTCGATGTCGTCCACTTCTGGCCGAGTGATGGCTACAAGTATTTCTAGAATTTGTGTTTCGACCACTTTCTCGGCGCAATCATTGCCGCAATCAATCAGATTGTGGACAATGCAAAGGCCTCTGTGTTGGAGATCCGAGTCCTTACTGGACACCAATTGAATCAGGTTTTCGAGCCAACACTTGGCGTCGAACACCTTTTGGCACGACTTTTTGCTAATACCCGTCAGCATAGCTAAGGCACCGGAGGCTGCTTTCACAGTATCCATGTCTTCGTCATCGCACAGAACCATCAAATACTTGACGCGATCGGTGTCGCCCTCAAACAGTTTGGCCGTGTCTTCGCTGAGGAACAGGTTTAGCAGACACTGAGTGGCCGCGCGTTTGAGCATTGGGTGCTCCTCATACATGTAATTCTCGATTCGCGAAAAGCCGTTGTCTTTAATAATACTAGTCCTCACACTAGGACTGACTTGTGCTAAGTTCGTCAAAGCCATGAGCGACTCAAAGTTCTGCAAAGCGGAACAGTCCGGGTGTAAGATATTAACTAAAGGCCGAACCACTTCCAGACACCTCTGGCCGGGAAACGAGACTTCGGGGTTAATAGTAATACCAATTCTGGCCAACGCTTGGCTCGATATGTATTTCCCGTTTTGGGTGTTATTCTCGAGCGCTAACTTAAGCAACGCCTTAACCCCTCCCTGTTGTACAACATATCCGCGCAGTTCTTGGAGTTCGCAAATGGCGTTAAAAACGCGGGCAATCATTTCACGGCTTGTTTTGCTCTGGGATTTACTCAACGCTACCAAAGCTGTCACAACTTGACATTCGCACAACACTCGACACCTGTTGTTGATGTACTCAACGGTATCCTTGGGGTGATCTTCGGGAACGTGTTGTTTCGCAAATTTGGCCAATTCTATCATTTCTGGCATTACTTCCTGTTTCTCATAGCTGTTGGTTAAGTTGACAAAAGTGGTCACAACTCCGAAGAGTATCGATAGATCACCATTTCTTGACATCTCGACCAAAGCACTGACAGCCTCTTTGTCTTCAATCAATTCTTCTTTGATGTCTGCGTTCAGCGATAGATAAGCCAATCCTTCGGCCGACCATTTCTTCATATCCTTATCCATGGATGGGTTGATTAGGAACTGTCGACAGGCTTTCGAGAGTTTAGATGTGGAGCCGTCAGAGAAGGTGCGAACCGATGCATCGGTGCCGCCAACAGAACCCAATTTGCAGAGACCTACTAATGCTCTCACTTTAATCCTATCGTTAGATGATTTGTATAGATTCTTGAGTATCGG